AATCCAATGGTTCCTGGACTTGTTTTTACCAGGATCATGTGGGCTGCTTTCTAAACATACAGATCACTGTGCTGCATCTGGAACCATAGAGTCCTCTGAGGGAAGACGGGTATCTGTATTTTAAATAGCGTATAGAGTGTGAGGACTACTACTGGTCTATTTAGAAAATCTCCCTCTCCAAAAGATAAAAGAGATACTGTTTTTCTGAGCATTTATTATGTACCCAATACTTTACTGTATCATTTCATTTATTTCCTACACTAAGCAATGGACATTACTGGCTCCATTTCATAGGTATAAAAAGTAAGGTTCAGAGAGAATAAGTCACTTGCCCAAGAGATGGAGGCTGGCTTTGAAAACCTGGCTGTTTGCACTCTACCTGGCTACCCCTCTGAAGCTCCCACTAGAAGTCAAACTAAGCCATTTGTCTGCTTATTGCCTCCAGGGCTATAGAAAATACAGAAAACCCTCACAATAAGTTAGAAAATGCAAGTAACCTGTGAAGAACTGGGGAATGAAGAGAACACTGAATTCCCATAGCAGGTGTTTAGGGATCATGAGCCCTCCAGAGAACCATCTCTTTCTAGGGCTCCATCTTTCTCCTTCTGCTGCAAATCTCAGCTTAGCTGCCATTTGCTCTAGGAAGCCTCCTCCTACTCCCAAACCTGGGGTAGATGCCCCTGCTCCAGGCTCCTAAGGTCCCCTATATCAGTGGACTGCAGCTGCTTGTTTACTGGGTAAACTCCACAAAATTAGAGCCATTTCTACCTTCTCCACCAACATATGCCCAGCACAGTGCCTGCCATTTGTGAGTACTCAGTCTGGATTGGAGGGAGAGGGAGAAGGGAGGTAAGGCCCTTGCTAGAGTTCTAAATGGCATCATGCCAAGATGGGAACAGCAAAGCCCTGAAAGCCATAAGGTGCACATAAACAAAGTGTCTGACCCCGGGCAAGTTTATTTGGGAGCCAAGGGAAGGCAGCTGGTTTCTTCATCTGATAATGAAGACAAGAGCACTTCCCTTATAAGTAGGTATGAAGGCCAAATTAAAGAAACATCCAGGCTGTGATGCACTCCTTTACACTGTCTCTCCCTAGATCTCATCCATTTTGTTGGCTGACATCTAAGTGCTGACAACTCTCATATTTATATCTCCAGCCCAGACCTCCCCCTAGGCTCCATGTGGATGTCTCATGGGTATCTCTAAGACAGCACGTGAATTCCACAACCTGCTCCCTACCCAGTCTCCTCTACTCTGTTATTGGTGCTCTCAACCACCCAATCTTTTTTTTTTTTGTAATTGAGATGAAATTCATATAACACAAAATTAACCATTTTAAAATGCACAATTCAGTGGCATGTAGTATATTCATAATGTTGTACAACCACCACATCTAACTAGTTTCAAAATACTTTCATCGACCCAAAGGAAACTGTTTACCCTTTAAGCAGTTATGCCTCATTTACCCTTTTTCCCCAAGTCCTTGGCAAACACCAATCTGCTTTCTGTCTCTACGGATTTAGCTACTCTAGACATTTTATATAAATGAAATCATACAGCATATGACCTTTTGTATCTGTCTTTTTTCACTTAGCATGTCTTTGAGGTTCATTCACATTGTAGTAAAAGGAGCATTTCATTCCTTTTTATGGTTGAATAATATGCTACTCTAAGTATGTACTACATTTTGTTTATCCATTCACCTGTTGATGGACATTTGGCATCCACCCAATCTTAAGCGATAAACCCACAGGTTACCCTTGATTCTTCTTCCCTTTCCTCTATTCCCAACACCTAATGTATCAGCATGTCCTTGTCCGTTTTATAACCAAATACAACTCTAGTCCTTCTACTTTTCTCCAACACCATTACTGTTCTGTAGCAAAGACACCAACATTTCTCTCTTATCTAACTTCTAATTTGTGATAAAAACGCATTCCTCTCCCTCCTCCATTTTTCACTTGGTAGTTACATGAACCAGATCATCCATTAACTCTAACAATATTTACTGAACACTTTTCATCATGGAATTTGCCTCCAAGAGGCATGACGGACAAAGTCATTATTAGGCTTAAAACCCCTCAATGATCTTTCACTGTGAATAAAATCCAAGCTCAGAATGGCCTTCCAAGGACCTGTCTACTGCTCCAAATTCATCTCAAGCTGTTCCCCAATCGCACTGGGCTCCATCCCTCCACCTCATGGTCCTTGAACAAGCTGCTCTCTCTGCCTCTTAATCTTGGCATTGCGTGGCATTGTTGGGTCCTTCTCATCTCTCAGATCTCAATATAAACATCACTCCTCAATATGACCTCCCCTAGCCACTCTGTTAAGCAGATAGACGTCTCATTCATTTCACTCATTCAAGAAATATGTGTTAATCACTGTGCTGGGATCTTAGGATAAAGCAATATGTGACCTTCTGAAGCCTTCGGTCTAATGCGGAGGACCACTAACGAGGAAATAAATGAAATGAATGAACAAGTACTATGAGAGGAGAGTAAAAGGGAGGGGACCTGCCTCACACAGGATGGTCCAGGAGGCCTTTTTGAGGAGGTTATACTAAAACTGAAGAATGAGAAAGTCAATCGGGAAAAGGGCCAATTATTCTCTATCACTTCCTTCCTGGTTGTGCAATGGGATGTTCTATCCTTAAATGTTTGCTCCTGAAAAATCAAAGCATTTAATGTCTGTCTCTTCCCTGATAGACTGCACTGTATTCCCAGTACCTAGGACAGCACCCTGCCATTTAGGAAGCACTCAATGCACATTGTTGAATTAATACTTGATAAATAAATGAATCAATTAACAAGCCACCCAATAAAATCACTTCATAAAGTGTAACAAATCATTATTTTGATTGCTGCTGTTGTTACTGCTATTATTTTATGGCAAAAGGACACATACTCTGTTGGGTTTTGGAAAAGACTGGGTTAGCTATAAAATAAGAGTAAAAATACTCGACACAGAATACTACTAGACAACTAGGAGAGAATGCATATAGATACCAGGCACTCAATAACGGGAAGTGGTAGTCATTGTGGCTCTTATTATTGTTAAAAGTCCTTTCCTCTAAAATGTCTATTTATCCAGCTCTAACTTCCCAACCTACTTTCAGACACAGTCAAGAAGTTTAACGGTGAGAGAAAGGAACACTTTTTAAATGCCTGTTCTGCACCAGATGTAGTGCTAACCAATTTCTGTCAAGTGGTTACATTTACTTCCCAAGGCCACCCTGCAGAGGTGGCTGCTGCGGTACAGTTCTCAATCCCCCTCCAAGACCAAGGCTCCTTACTCTTATATGCTCCACGTCCAGGAGTGCTGGCTGAGTCCTTCTTCAGGAACTGTCTTGCTGAAGGGACAACCAAAGTTATGCCCCACCCCTGCATCTACTGGCTGGTCAACATGGGGCTTCAAAGGCTTGCCCCCGCCCCATGCCTCAATTGAGGCCTCTTTTGCACTGCACCACAGATTCACTTCTCCCTCTGCCCAATCCTGTTTTTCTCACCCCTCACCCACCTTGGATCAGTGAAACTACTCCCCCAAAGTTCCCCTACAGACAAACCTCAGAATCTCTGAGTCTTTTTTCCAGGGAACCTGACCTAATAAAGGTAGTTATATTTCCTTTTAAATCAGAAAACTGAAATTCAGAAAGACTGATTACATCCTCCAGGCACATAGCTAAAGTGACTTTCTGGTCTGACTCTCCAGTGACACGTTGCTTTTTACAACCTCTCACCGTTGAGACTGAGCCTTTGTAAGACAGAAAGAGAAGGGGAGCGGTACCCTTCCCAATCCTCCAGGGTCCATCCCTGATAGCACGGTTGAGGTCCAAGCCTCCAGAAACAATATTAAAATGGCCCCGAGGTTGCAGAAGCAAGTGTCACACGGACGACACTCCCTGGCCCAAATCCATGCCCAGAGGCGGGGGAGCAGGGCTCCTGGGCAGTTGCGACTGTCTTCCCCACCCAGAGTATTCACTCCCAAGTCTGAACAGCAGCTACACTCACCAGCTCTCCGCTGCTCCAGGCTCCACCTATTTTCCACAGAGCTGCCAGAGCCCATCCCAGGACAAAATCCGAGGCAGTCCAAGGCTGCATTCGAAGGCCTGAGCGTGGATCAGCCCCCTCCCTGCACGCCGACAGCTCATTTCCTACCCACAGTAAGCCCTGGTCCTACGCGATCACCTGATGGGAGACTGCACTTTTTCGGCCCCCTAACCTTCGCACGCGACAGTCTCTCTGGAATCCCCGCTATCCCCCCCGCCCTCCCCCTGCACCCCCTCCCCCCAGCTCTCCGCGGGGCTGACCCTCGACTCCTCCAGTCCACACTCGGCGGTCACCCCCGCTCCGAAGCCCTCCTGGCTCGCTCTCCACCTCGTGCGCCCGGTACGAGTGTTGGGTAACTATCCCTCCTCCGCCCTCCTCCGCCCTCCTCCGCCCTCCTCCGCCCCAGGAGCCCCTCCAAGGCCCGTCTTCGCGCCTCAGGGCTCAGCACAGCGCCTGGCACACACGGGGGGAGCCGGGTAAATGCAGAATAAAGAAAAACGCGGGGCGCGGTCTGAAGGGCCAGTCTCCGCGGCGGAGGGCGAGCTCCGCCGGGAGCCGCTCGGAGACCTCCTGCGCCTCAGGGCGGCTGCAAAGAGGCAACAGCGCGACAAACCTGACCCCGAGCCCCGGGCCCACAGGTCCTCAAGTCTCCGGAGACCGCGCCCCTCAGGCTCCCGGGCCTCAGGCAGTTCCCGCGCGCCGACCTGTGGGTCGCAGGGTCGGGCCCCGGCCGGGCTGCGGCAGCTGCCGGAGGGCGCGTGGCGCGGCGGCTCGTCGCCTCCCTCCCGCGCCCTCCGCGCGCCCGCCTCCCGCGGGCACAGGGCCGGCGCGCGGGGGACGCGGCCCGGCGCGAGGACGCCGCCGGCAGCCCGGTCTGAGGCGCCGAGGGCAGGAGGGGGCTCCCAGGTTCCGTAGCCCCACAAAGTCTACTTCGCGGCGGCGCTCCTCTTACCGTGCGAGCCGCCAGGAAGCCGGCGCCCGGGGCGGGGGGTGGCGAGGCGGGTGCCTCGGCCGCGGCGCCCGCCTGAGGATGCGCTCCGGGTCCGCGAGCTCAGCCTCCGCGCCCCACCGCGCTCCAGCGTCTCCCCTCGGCCGCCTGTGGCCTCCCCGCCGCGCCGCGCCGCGCCGCCCCATTGGCTCGGGCGGCCAGGCCCCGCCCCCCGGAGGCCCCGCCCCCCGGAGGCCCCGCCCCCGCCGCCCCTCCCCGCGCCTCCCCCCTCAGCGAGCCTCACCCCTCCACGCCGGGAAAGTTGCTCCCAGACTCTGAGCTCCCTGCCCTGGCTCAGGCAGCCGGGTGCGGTGATCGTGCTGCATCTCTAGCGTCCCGACGCCCCTTGGGGAGCGCGAAGAGTGCAGCGCCCTTGGAAGCCAGCTTTGAGAAAGGCACCTGACCTCCCAGGACCTCAGGAGGCGCCCCCGAGAAACCCGGCCGCACCGTCGGCGCGCGTCTCAGGTAGCGTGGTGGGCACTCAGCGCCCGGGGCGCCACAGGAACAGGACAAAGTCTGTCGCCCTCCGGTAGCTTGCATGGGGCCTGGGCGGGGGCAAGCTAAATGCAGGGAAACGAAGAAGATCACGTCGGATTGTTATGGCAGAGAAAGGTGATTTTAAATAAGAAAGGGGGTCGGGGACGCTCTGAGTAAGATGGTTCCCTGCGGCCACTTGGGGAGGTGGGAGTTGTTCTGAGAGTTGAAATGTGAAAGGGATTCCCGGGCTGGAGGAAGAGCGTGGCCGGCAGGGGGCGGCAGATGCAGCGTGGTTCTGCGGCCGGAACGGAGACGAGGAGGGCCCGGAGCGCCGAGCAAGGGAAGGGCACGGTGCGCTAGGCTGGAGAGGTGGCCGGGGCGGGATTCCCCAGAGCCCGAGGGCCACCCCGGAGAGCTTCGGCTTGCTGGAAGGACAAAAATAAGCCACAGAAGGGTTTTAGGGGAGGGAGGGCCATGACATGTTTACAAGATACGCTGTTGTGTGGAGAAGAGATTTTGGAAGAGAAAGCATGACGAAGCAGGGGGGTCAGTTTAGGAGGTGTTTTAGTCTGCTCACGCTACCCTAACAAAATACGGTAGGCTGGTTGGCTTAAACACCAGAAACGTATTTTCTCACAGTTCTGGTGGTGAAGAGCAAGGTGCCAGCGTGGTCTTTTTCTGTTGAGAGCTCTCTTCCTGGCTTGTAGATGACTGCCTTCTCCCTGTGTCCTCCAGGGCAGGGAGAAATAAAGAGAGCAAGTTCTGTCGTGTCTCTACGTATGAGGACACTGACCCCATCATGAGGTCCCCACTGGCAACTCAGGGTCCCACTGTATGGCAAAAATGAGTTGTGACTCAGTAACAATCTGCCCCCTTAGGCAGGTACACACATCTCAGTATGCCACAGTCTCTACCCTGCCCTGCTCTATCACATCTTGCCAACTTCACTTGTTACATTACTGCCTGTCACCAAAGTTCATGATTCCTGAGCTAGTCTTAGTCCCTTAGTTACTAAGGCATCATCCAAATCTAGTTACCCTCCAAAGGTCCCATCTCCAAATACCATCCCATTGTGGGTTAGGGCTTCAACATGTGCATGGGGGGAGCATAGTTCAGTGCATAACAGGAGGATACTGCAGAAACCCAGGCAACGGATGACATCACCTTAGACCAAGGTGGTGACAGTGGAGAAGGAGAGAGGAGACCAATTGAAATACATTTTTAGAGTATCCTGGATAGGCTTGATGATGATTGGATTTAGGGAATGAGGAAAACAGATTAACAAAGAATGACTCCCAGGTGTTTAGCTCAAGCCATCCATGGGATAATGGTGCTGTTACTGACATGGAGACTAGGAAGGAACAGGTTGGAGGCAGAAGGAAATTAAAAGCTCTACCGTGCACATTCTAAAGACCCATGAGGCAACTTACAACAACGACAGTGCCAGGTTCTCTTCAAATTGTTTTGCATATATTAGCCAATTGTACATATAATTCTCATAATAATCATATAGTAGAAAAGTACTCTCATTGTCGCCATATCACAGATGAGGAAATGAAGGCACTTGAAAGGCTTAAGCAACTTGCCCAAAGTGAGGGCTGGATACCCAAGTGTAAAGCACAGATGTGAGTCTGGGACTGGAGATGTTCCCCGGGGTAGTGTTCTGACCTGAGGCATCATGAGAGGAGAGGAGAGCCAAGGACTGAGCCCTTGGAAGTTTGTCTTCCAACATCTCCATTTACTGCATTACCCTTAGTAAGTGACCTCAGTCAACAGGAGGGAGTGACCCAACTGTAGTAACTAAGGGAGTAAGACTAGCTCAGGAATCACAAACTTTGGTGACAGGCAGTAATGTAACAAGTGAAGTTGGCAAGTTGTGATAGAGCAGGGCAGGGTAGAGACTGTGGCATACTGAGATGTGTGTACCTGCTTAAGGGGGGCAGATTGTTACTGAGTAACAACTCATTTTTGCCATATAGTGGGACCCTGAGTTGCCAGATGGTCTGAGTTTTATTAAAGGGTCAGAAAACCAAATGATGTTAAATCTCCAGGTTTTTACATGTTGGCAATTAACTTTAAAAAAATTTAAAGGACTGTGTGAGCCAAGAATGTTGAGCAAAATCAAACCCATGTACAGGCAGGATTTGCCCCTTTGGCTACTACTTTCCACCTCTGTATTAGGCAATACGTCAGATTCTTCCTAAGTTTCTGTTCACACCCAGATAATGACAATCGTGGACATAAGAGGATCAAGGAAATCTCAACTCAAAAACCCAGCATAGTCTTTGATGGTATTTGGCCCATCTCTGCCTCTACCCACCTGCCATATCCTTTCTAAGCTTCCATTTCCCCACCTGTGAAATGATGTCAGAGAAGAGCTCCCCTAAGATACCTCCCAACTCTAAGATTTGGACTTATATGTAGTTTTCAAAAAAAAAAACTACTGGCTTTCAAATATGCACGGGAGAGTTGCTTGGGGAAAAAAATGGAAAGGGTGTTCTTGTCTGGGTCTATAAATTCAAAAAGCTTCACTAGTATCAGTTTTAAACAAAGAAAAGAAACAGGAAGTAGGATGGAAGTGTAGAGGAAAAAATCAGGCAAATTATGGCATGGAAAATTATTTTTATTGCATTATGAATAAGAAAAGAAAAGGCAGTTAGATGCAGAAGTGTTTAATGGTTTCTGTTGAAAATTCAATGTATCATAGCCAGTTCTCTATATTTATCGCCAAGGGTTTTGCAGTAATGAGATTCTCCCATCATGTATTGGAGGTCAGCTGCATTCCAGCATTATTTATTCTTATGTGCTGATGTGCTGAGCTTATGTAATAAAAAGAATCTGAAAACAGATAATGACTCTCCATAGTCAGTCCCTTTGTCCCCACCTGAGTGTTGCTTAAAAGCTGGAGAAAGAGCTTATGACTTTATAAATTGCTGGGTTTTGTGTAAGAGAGTGAGTGAATATGGGGTTGGAAGCTGGAAGACTTGACACACAGTCATTGAACAACCTCTCTGCACCTTCTTTATCAATGAAATAAGAATTTGACCAGAGGTGGCTTCCTAGAAGATATTTATACCTCCACATTTCTTTAGGGGAAGTGTTTCATTGTGTGAGGACCTGGCAATTCCCAGGGCCAGATCCTTCCATGACTTGCTTTCTCTCAGTCCCCAAAAATACTTGAGGGATGTTGCCTAAGTTGGGACAATTAGATGCACACTCCTGGAACTTTGTCGCTTCAGAAATTGACAAGGATGGAGAGCAAGAGATGGGCTGTGAGATTGATCAGACTGATGATGGCAGCAGCATCTCAGCATCGGAAAGAGGCTGGGCCAGTGGTTACTGCTTGGTCATGAATCTTGTTGGCCAACCTCCAAATTCCTTTGATTTCTGCCTGTTTCCCAAGCTTGATTCTTCATGCCATCCCATCCCCCATCCAATTTTATTTTGTGAATGTTCCATCTCTGCTAAATCCCCTTCTTGGGTTAACAGCCTACATTGTTTCTCTTACTTTTAACCAAGAATCCTGACAGGCCCAGGAAGGAAAGAAACATATTGTATCATAGGATCCTTTCTCTGGGGAACAATTCAGCTCAGGAATTTGCATACATATGGATGCACCCACAGTGACAGGTGTACACATTGTCTCACCACTCAGTTGAGAAATCCAACCCTACAGGGTGGTGGTGATGGTGGTGGTGGTTTAAAAAGCTATTTATTTTTGATAAGAAGAACCCAGATCTGCTATTCTTATCTGATCTAAAAAAAGTGAGCAAGTCCTTATAATAACAAAACAACTAGAAATAAGCCCCTTTACATGTAAATTTTGTAGTTTGCAAAGTCCCTCATTTCATATGCTCTCCTGTGAGGTAGGCAGATTACATTGTATTAATGGATTAAAGTAATAATAGCTATCATTTATTGATTATTGATTATTGTGTACCAGGCACTGTGATAAGTGCTTTACATACCCAGGAAGCAACAACCCTGTTAAGGAGAGAATATTTCCATTTCATAGGGGAAATGGAGGCTTGCCCAAAGTCCTTAGCACAAAGTTGAGGTGAGAACTCAAAATGCTGTCTGACAATGAAGGCCATGGGTGCCTTTAACGCACACAGTTTGATATCGTGTAACAGAGCTAGTGAGTGACAGAGTGCAGGTGGAACCCAGGTCCCAAGTCAGGAAAGTTCCACTCTATTGAAACACCTATTCAGCTATGGCTTGTTCATACTTGCCAAAAAGGGCAGAGTTAATTTTGTTATCCAACCATAGGAAGATTTTTTTTTAAGATTCTATTTATTTATAAGAGAGTACAGACATGTGCGTGCATGAGTGAGGCTAGGGGGAGGGGAGGAGAGGGAGAGAGAGAGAGAGAGAAAATCCCGACCCTGCACAGAGCTCAAGCCTGAGGTGGGTCTAGATCTCATGACTCTGAGATCATGACCTGAACCAAAACCAAGAGTTGGACACTTTACTACCAAGGCGGCCAATGGCAAGATTTTTAAGATGACAAGAAAGATTTTCCAGTGTATCACCCTCTCTACCTTTCATGGTGCCTAAATCTGCACAAAGATGAATTGCTATAATTAAAGATTGATTGAGGGTACAAATGCAAATAAGCCTCTGAAAGTTAAAATGTAAAATCTTATCACCTACAGGAGTATAAAGCCTCTGGAGTCTATCCAAAGAGGGTTGACATAGTAATCGTCTCACTATGTATATGCAGATAATCATGTTGTATGCCTTAAATAGATACAATTTTTATTTTAAAGTAAATTAATTAAAAAGCATAAAAAATAAATTTGATTTATAAAAAAAGAAAGATAAACGTGAGAGAACTTTTCAATTTCACCTATTTTATCTTTAGATTAAAAAATGTCTTAGAAAGATGAGGAAGTGAGGTATAGAATAAAAGAAAATCTGAAAACATTAATTTACTCCCTGACGTGAGGCAGTTCCCTTCATCTCTTACCCCTAGTAAAATGTGAGGA